ATTAAAGTTAAATATCTTCACTCTCTATAAAATTGCATGCAATAACAAATTTTTTAAAAAAATTTAAAAAAATTCTTCAATAAATATTCATTAGATTAACCAAAAAAAAAAAAAACTCATCTTAAGTTTTTAATCATATATAAAATTATTATAACAACAAAAAATTTTTAAAATTTTTTTAAAAAATTTTCAATAAATACACATTAGTCTTTAAAAAATCCTTAATAAATATCTCATGGGTCTTTTAAAGTATATATTAAAAAGTAGTTCATCTCAAAAGCTTAAATTTAATTTGTTAATCATAATTAATTTTTACATTTATATATTAATCACACTCATACTTCCAAATTAATGTAAAATTCAGGACGTTATATTAATATAGAGTGAAAGTGAATGCCAAAGCAGAGTAAAGTGATATATAAAAAGATAAAATTACTTTTCAAAAAATATATATTATAATGATAAAATGTGAGTAGCTAGTAAGATAAGAGACAGAGTTCTGAATAATGAAGGGTGCAGGAAAGGAAAGTGAAAATATACCAAACTTATAACATTATAAAGCTGCTTCGTTCTATGTTTTGATGTAAAACGTTTTTAATGTAAAGAAGTGGAGAGAGAAAATTGGGGTTTAAAAAGAAATATATTGGTATATTGAGATGTAAAGAATAACTAAAAAATAATAAAAGTGGAATGATGATTAGAAAAAGAATAAAAAAAATTAAATAATAATGATGTAGGGATGGGACTACATACTAATATAGAGAAGGAAAGAGTTTGCAATTGTCTGGTATGATAAATTGTCATGATGAGGAAAGCAAAAAAATTGATTCACGAGTAAAAGTAATAAGAGATGAAGTAAAAGTATGTGAAAAGGTATTAATGAACAATATTAATAATTCATCAAATAAGCCTAAAAATGTCTATACCTCTCTCTCTATATATAATGCAATAATTACATTAAATAAAGTTTAAAATTACATTATTTTAGAGTCTAATATTTATCAAACTCATATAAAATAATGATTGAAATTACATATAATGCACACAACTTTAAAATTTAGTTTAAGTTATATATAAAGCGTAATATATATAGATCAAGAGAGATAAAAATAGAGCTTAAAATTATATCATTTTAGATATACACACACAAAGATAATATATATATACAGAGAGAGAGACATGATGACTTAGAAATTGTAACTACCAAACACAATCCATTCATCCGCCAATATAGACCATGTAAACAGTTATTGAGTCGAACAAACATATCTGACATAACATATACCTGGAAGTTGAAACAACAGTAAATTTGATACAAGAGATTGAGAAGAGGTAGGCAAGTATATGGCAAGAAAAGGTATCTGATAGACGAAATTCTTCCCAAAACTCTTTGTTGATGAATGACTTGCTTAAAGCAGTATCTTTTACCAGGAGGTATATAGTCATTTGTAGGATTTGCCAGGTTGGAACCTTAGAAGGAAGCTGTCTATTTCTTCACCAAATGCAGGGCAATCCAGCCAACCTGCAAACAAAGGATGATGTTGGGGATGAATGATTAGAGCAACAATACATATCAGACATTTTAAATAAGAAAAATGAAAATTATAATCTTTTAAGTTTGTAATAAGAATATGGTATTAAAGATCTTATTTGAGAATTTTGCATAGATCATATATGACCTTATTTGAATACAATTGAAGCTTGTGATATCGAGAATTGACCTTTTGCCTTTAACATGTGTACCAAGGACAAGTAAAACAGACTATTAAAGAATGTAAATGTGAGATGAAATCCTCCTCTAGGACAGGAAAATTGATGTTGGTAAAGGGGCTATTTGTTTAAGAGTTTTAAAAATAACTATCAGCGATTGATTTAAATCAAATAGATTAAATACACTAAATTATAAATAATAATAATCAATTATTAAATATTTATTATTAATTATTAACTGTATTTAAACAAGTAATCCAAATATCCTAAACACTGCATAGTCCTTACGAAGAGAGGAAAGAGCGTTAAAAGGCTCCCCTTTTGTGCCAATCAAGCTATATCAAAGAGCCCACGCCCTTGGCCCAAAAAAAATTCAGAGCAAAGGCCCAAGCATTTGGTAATCCTAATGGTTTATCCTTGCTTGTGGCATTCCCCACCACAAAGTCTTGTTCTTTTGGAATTCCACTTTTGTCCGCTTCAATTTGCTTGTCACAATTTCCATTTTAAAATAAACTATTATTAAACTTTTTTTAAAAAAAAAAATTAGATTTCGCAATTACTTGTTACAATTTCCAACTTTCTTTAGTTGTCTGTTAAAATATAACCGTGAAAGAAGCTAAATTTTAATATGTAATAATTGTATTTTATAAATTTTTATAATATTTTCTATAATTATGTTAAAAAGAGTGTAAAAAATATCAATAATTTATCTGTTTGAATAGAAAAAATTAAATTTCTCTAAACAAATATCTAAATTTAAGTGTTGTGAACTAAGACCTAAGTGATAGAAAATTTTTCCTTTGTAAAGTTGACTTTAGATTAATTAAATTTTATTGTCACTTTTAAATAGAAAAATTTAATAAAGAAAAAA